TTATCATGAAGTTCATTTGGTTTTGGTTCGACTACATGTCTGGTCCGAATACTTCGGTTTGCCTAATATTGAGTTGCCACTTATGACCTTGGTAGAAAATTTTTTTAAATTGTTTTATAGATAAAAGGAGTGGTTTTGTTCATCAGGGTATGCACTCATATTGTCCACACACTTTGGTCTTTTCGGTGGTAGCTTGTTAAGTCTGATGGTATAGAACCCTGGTAACCGATAGTCGGTAAAATCTTGGAAGGTCTGTTCTAGGACATCGTCCGAGGTAACTTGTTTCCCTACGAAAAAGTTATCCAAATTCTTAACAGAGGGGTAGGCATTAAGGGGCGCAAAGCCTAGTAAGTATAGTAGATGAGGGAGAATTCCCAACTCCAAATCTTGTATTTTTTCCAATGTTATTTTACGGCGCATGGTGTAGCCTTGTCGTGCAATAGAGTAGCGGTCGATCGGTAGGCAAAGCTAGGGTGTGTTCCCGCCAGGTTTTGGATAATTTGTTCCAACCGGTTGTAGTATACTTCTGTCGTGATCGGTGAGCCAAGTTTCATGAAATCATAATGGATCACATCTACGTCAGACCACTACACGCTCCCCATCAGCTTCTATTGATTTAAATTGTGTTTGATGGTTTTTCCTTGTCCAACCACTGTGCTGAGTGTCTACGGTTATCGTAGTGGCTCCATTTCTCATCAAACGTCACAACTCGATTAAAAAATAATTCATGTTGTGACGAGGAGGCAACGTCCTGCAGACTTTCAAATGTTGTTGTTTCTGCTTTTCATTCAGTTCATGCGGAACCCAAATATCCAACTTTTCACTTTACCGACTTGAGCTAGGTGAGTTGGTAGTGTTTGCTTGCTAACACCAAACATCAACGATAATTCGTGTGCATTTCGAGATGCATCTGACTCTACGATAAATTTAAGTTTGTCATTATCCATCTTTGATCCTGGCCTGACACATTCGTGAGTTTAAAGTAGCCAGGAGGAAGCTTCGGATACCAATTTAATACCGTCTGTTTTATAGTAATACAGTCGTCGCCGGCTATTAAGCCCACGGTTAATAAGCCCGCCGCTTATTAAGCCCAATTTGGTCTGGGCCCGAGGTAGACTTAATAGCCGGCGACTGCTGCATTAAGCCCACGGTTAATAAGCCCGCCGCTTATTAAGCCCAATTTTGTCTGGGCCCGAGGTGGGCTTAATAGCCGGCGACTACTGCAATTAGAGTAAAATGCACCTTACGCATTCAAAACTGTCTGCGATGCTGCATCTCCACGTAAGAAATCATTTCAGGATTGTACGAATTTCTAACTTTTCCATCCTTTAAGAAGAACACTAGAACAATTTTTCATATTTTTTAAGTTGAACATTTATTAAAAAAGAAAAAAATATGCGTGGCAGCTTTCTAAAAAAAGAAAGTCAAAGTCTAATGCTACCGTGAGATACAAAACTTAGTGTTTATTCTTTATTCAAAGTTCTGTCCAAGATTACCAGGGTATGTTTGCACACTCGAAACAACAGCTTTTTATGTATCTACAATAAAATTGATGCACAAAAAGCAGTCGACGTCTTGATGTGTGCGTTAGCACCCCTGACCTGACTGTCCAAGGAACGCCTGCCTCGGTAGACGCACGTATCACAACGTTTTTTTCCGGAGCTGCTGAGGAATTTTCTGTCAAAGTAGTTTCCTTTATGAAATTTTAATAATATGCTTTACCGGTTGACGCCTCATATTTGCATGAGTTTGATGTGATCGCCTTCTTAGCCTCCCTCATATTTGGCAGTTCTTATACGAATGTGTGCATTTGGTTCTGTTTTCATTTGAAGGATCTTATTACGGTGTATTTTTAGACTCAACCCTTCTTTCTTTGTTTTTTTTCGTTCAGATCTGGTGTTTGTGTATTTTGGAACGCTCCAGACGCCGAAGTAAGTTCCGCCAGCACGCGCCGCATTTTATCCTCCCTTGTCATTGATTTAGTGCCGCCAGATGCTGGATAGGATTCGGAAGTACTGCGACGCCCCAGTCTCCTCGCAGCTCATAGAATGGGAGGAACTGCGCTACTTTCTGACAGCGTATGTCCATCGGTTCTTTTTGTCCTATTTCCTCTTGAGCAGGACATCTACTCCGCTGGTTTTGTTTTTCATTCGTTCTATACCGGCCGTTTTAAAAGCATGCATAGCCGTTGTTATGTAGCGTCCTTTTATTCGGAAAGTTTTTTCTACTTTCCTTTCTCATGTAAACAGTGGTGACACCTTTCTCGATGGCGAAGACATTTGTCTACACCATTCGCCCTCCGTAAACATTCAGCAGCCTGACGCCGCCCCGGAGGTCCCAATCGCAGATAACCTTGTCTTTGAAAAACTCGCCTTCTCCGATGCCCTTGCATCGTCAGGTGAAAATGCACCACTCATTTTGACATCCAATGCTAGTGATAGCTACTTATGCACAGGACTCTTATACTCTAATTCTTTCATATGATCCTAGAAGACATGCTTTCCTAAGAGGATTTTCTTTCACATCTTTAGTCAAACTCGCCCTCCTGGAAACTAGTTTCGATTCTGTGGCCCTGCAGATGCAGCCTTGGCTAGAAGTACGCGATTTGCTTATTTTCATGTATTCTTGAGTAATCAACTTTTTTTTATTTTTGTTTTCGCTATTCCTGGTGGTCCTTTCTGTCCGGCTGGCTTGGCATCTCTAACCATTTAAAGGCCCGTACATCCATCTCTCAAAATGGAATCTCGGAATTCTGATAGTCTGAAAATTAGGGACGAGGACGGGCGTGGGAGTGGGGAGTAGATAGAGGGTAGAAAAATTATTTGTACGTTTCAACGATCTCCATGGTCATCGCGCTTACTGGTATTAGTGGGGTTTCCTCTGCATCTATGTAGTTAAGACCGATCTGTATGGCTGTTTATTTGCTCAGTCAAGCTATTCAACCTGTTCTTTTTCTAACCATGTGGTTATGAGACAGTTTGGAAGACCCTTCAGCCACTAAGGGTTTGCTTTGTTTTAACTAACAAAGGATACCTTAGGAATCGTACGCGCGATGAGCAATAAGACAATCCAGTAAGTTCATAAAATTAATATTGGAAAATGTCGAACATCCTAACTGCTGAGCACGCAAGCGTCGCAGGGGTCGAAATGCAGAGGTGTGTCCGTCAGGTTAAAAAAAACAGCTCAGGAAAGGAAACGTGACGAGATTGTCAAAGGTGCACTAGGCTGGTAGCTCGGTGCAGTTTTACCTGAGTGGCGTCAGGCCATTGCGCGCACTTGGCGCCAAATTCTCACTAGAACACGATAACACTGCCGACTGTCCACTGCTGATTCCCCAGTCCGCAGTTCCGACGAGCTCCACTGCGTGCACCACAGCAGGGTGGGCCAGGCTCGTCAATTTTCGCGTAAATTAATGTGGCTCCACTAAACTGTGTCGTGTTTGGCACCACACCTCCATGACCTCCTTGGCTG